TGGCTGGTCGGCAGCTGAAAGAAACGAGGAACCTTGAGGGGTCACCCTAGTGACGTCATCAACTAGACACCATTTCAAAAGAACTCGATTTCTACACGGCAGACTAATGTTCGTAAGAGCTTTAGATTCGCCTCACTACTAGAGGACAAGATACCGCACCATATTTTGACTAAACGAAAGCAAGAACGACTGCATACCACGTCAGCAGAAAGTCTCATCCACCAAGCGAACGGCGATAATCGTCCTCCGACACTTCCCATTAATAATTACACGCCGGACTTGATAATGTCCGCTGCCTTCTCCGCAACTCCATACAGGGTGCTACTCAAGTGTGCACTGACGTGAAGAGGAAGTACGCTCGCATCGACAACTCGTAGGTTCTTTGTGTCATATACGCGTAACTTTCCGTCTACGACACCGCCCAAATCACGTCGCATCATCGCCGCCGTACCTATCTCATGCCAAACTGCAGAAAACCCGTTGGGTGCCGGAGCTTGAATCCAAGCGACCCATGCGTCGTCCGCTCCACCGTTCCCATCATTTGGTACTACACCAAGCCCAGGCACTATTTCGCCAGATGTGATTGTATCAAACGAAGTATAGTTAAGGACTTTGCGGGATAGGCGAGTTGCCGCAGTCTGTATGATCAGGTCAACATCGACGCTGAACCAGTTTACGGTTATAACTGGTTTTGAAAAGATGCTTGTGCCGTTAATTGTGACCCTTCCGCGGCTGAAAGGAACAAGCTGCCACATGCTGATACCAAGACCACTACAAATGCAATCGTTAGTGAATTGTGTGTGTGTAATTAGCATAAGCATATTACGTGTCGCCATCGGTGAAGAACAGAAGCTCAGCAACGGGCGCTAAGTGAAAATATAAATCAGTACAAAGACGTCTTAAAATAGCCAGCTTTCTATACCACTGGTATTAACGATCAATCCGGCTTGTATGCCGAATATTGTCTTGAGAGCGTCTGCATTTAACCCGTATTCCGCCTGACTCTCCGCCCACGATTCATATGAGCTCATGATATGGTCTGCTATCTCGTTCCCCGTCACGCTCCCATTTGAACCGGCATTTTCGGAGAAGAGTTCTTTTAGCGATGGGTAGGCGATACAATCGGACGGACCAAGCCCATCCTCGTCGAATGTAGGCTGAGTGGACTGTCCGAGGTTACTCTTTGTTCGCTCCATGAGGTTTTTGCCGACAGTCGAAAGATTCACCCTGACTTCGACGCCGAGTGGACTCAGGACAGACGGGTCGCCAATACCGGATATCTGAAGTAATTGCGGTGTACCAATTGTACCAGCTGAAAGTATGACTTCCAAACGTGCAGTTACTGTAAAAACGTCGCCAGTGTTATCAGACTTCTTGAAATGCACGCCCGTAGCGGTCACGTTCGGCACTGATCCGGAAAGGATCACGTTGGTCACCTGGTGATTAATGAGAGTTATCCAATTCGTTCGCTCATTTTCAACTGGCGAGAGATACGCCGTGGCGGAGGAGGAGCGGTGATCATAATCGTTCGGATTTATCGAATTAGGCGTGTAGCTCACACAATTGATATTTCCACCATTCACGTCCGGACAAAGCTTGATTCCGGACAAGTTGCGCACAGCATCGACAAATGCAGGTTGTTGAGGACCTCCAAACATGGCTTGCGGGAAAGCAGCATGAACAGGCCCTACAAAGCCATGGAACTTATTGACACTGTTTGCACCCTTTGCGCGTTGAGCATCGTCGGGAGGTGTGAACGATTCCGACTAGTCAAAGAAGATTTAGTCAAAGTCAAAGGGAGTTTATTAGATATCCGAGGAGCAAATCTTTTCGCGTACCTTCTTCATATATTCAAACAGGGAGTCGAAGTTCCAGTTCAAGCTCGCGTCTTCTTCGCCCAGAAGCTGCGCGAATGCGTCGTATTGCTCCTTCATACCCCGAGTCCATACGGCCCCATTAATAGAGCTACTCCCTCCTAGAGTTCGCCCGCTAGGATGAATATCCGGAACAAAGTTAAATAATCTTGCAATTTACCGATCAAGTCAAAAGAATCAGATACTGACCCTAAGATGTCCCTACCCAAGTCCGTTTCCCAAGTCCATGTCAGGCTTGAACCAAACGCAGTCCCATATTGTGTAACGTCATATACGCTCTTGTTTGTTCTGTCGTCGTTCCCAGCTTCAATGACGAGCACGGTTTTCGCGGAGTCCTCAGAGAGACGTCCAGCAACAGTGAGCCCTGCGAGTCCACCTCCGACGATAATGTAGTCAAAAGTTTGACCATTCGCAGAGCTGGCATCCGTAGTGACTCCAAATGCACGCTTGTGCAATGGTAGCGATGCCAGGGCAAATATAGACAGAGATAGGGAAAGGATTCTTTTAACAAGCGTAGCGGGAGTGCCCCAAGTACTCTCTCTTATTGAGACATCAAGCAAGTATCTACCTTATATACTACATAGTGGAGTCCAATAATCCAAGACATTCCAAGTACAGTAATTCTACATAAGG